GTGAACGTTGGAGTCTGCAGCAAGCAAGCCTCCCTGCTCGCTTCAGTGCCTGGCTGCCGGCCGCCATCTTGGCTGACAGTTAATTTGCATATACTCACTGATTAGCCAATGAAAAGGGTAGCGGTCGTACGCTAATTACCATGTTTCTCTTTTATTAGTGTAGATGAATGAAAGGCATAGTGATGACAGTGGTAATAATAGCTCCTGCTTGTTGGAATCCATGCACTAAAATTATGTGTAACATCCTATGGGGTAGTGGAATTTTGCCCAATTTATAAATAAGCAGCCTGAGGCTTCAAAAGGTTAAATATCTTGGCAAGGGTTTTGGAGATAGTTTTGGTGCTAGAACGGAGGGCTTTGGCCTCAGCTGTATTTGGGGTGAGTGAGGGAGGTAGATTCAAGGGATGCAATTATGAGGCTCATTTTCTAGGGAAAATGATTTTGTGAACTCAATTTTAGAGAGGCCACATGGACAACAGAGATGAGCATGAGATTAGCTGACCTTAGATTATAATGTTGCTTTTATGGGAAACCAGATTCTTGAGATTTTTGAATGATCTTAATGGAATTTAAAACAGTTCAGTTTTACAAGTCAGTCTCCCCAATGTAGTCTACCAATAAGCTGGTGATCTGTAATGGTGTGCACATTTAGGAGTAATCTTTTACAGCTTTAATAGGATTGTGTTTGTTTTTATTTGTAGTTATTTGCTTCTAGTTTGTCATAATCAAACATTATAGTTATTGGAGAAAATGAAGAATGGTAAATGCTTTCAGTGTTTTAACTACCTAGTGAGATTGTATTACGGGTAAAGTTTTGTACAATTAAATAAATGTAAATTCACTTGAACGATAGCTCTAAAATTAAAAATGCTAACATGTATCCTGAAATTGAGGCAGTACCTGTGTTGATTTCTTGTGAGGACCAATGTGACCCAGTCAGTAAAAATCTTTTTCTAGCTGTACTTGAACTATCGATTATACTAGGGGCCCAGTGCACAAATTCGTGTACCTTGAAAGGAACTGTGGGCCATGAGGCTGCGGTGGGCACTGGGGCGGGTCTCGGCCCATCCTCCGCATCCCCACCCAGCCCCTCCCGCCATGGCCCTCCGCTCCCCTGTCTGCTGGCAGCCTTGCTCCTGCCGCCGCCGCTCCCATACGCTGACGGCACCGGCCCCGCTTGCACCCGCTGACGGCATGGAGAGATTGGGGTTGGCGCCAGCAGCAGGTATGAGCGGGGCCAGCACCATCAGGGTGTGCCCGTGGCTGCTGCCCCGATTGCCCCTCAGGAGCAGGGGAAAGTGGAGAAGCCCTCAGGGGCAATCGGGGCTGGTGCCAGGTGCCGGCAGCGGGAGCAAGAGGGGCCATTGCTGGCAGCAGGTGTGAGTGGCGGCTGCTGGCTCTGATCGCCCATCAGGAGCAGGGGGAGGTAGAGAAGCCCTGAGGGGTCATCAGGGCTAGCAGCTGCCGCTCGCACCTGCTGATGGTGCCGAGCGATCAGGGCCGGCGCCAGGTGCCAGCAGTGGGTGTGAGCGGTGGCTTTGACGCCGGCAGCAGATGCAAGTGCTGGGTGGGACTGTGGTGCACAGGAGCAAAGAATTTTCAGTAACCACCAGAGGCTCACTCTGATGATAGCGATAGGCACTCTGCCTTGGTCTGGCGCCCCCACTCACCTGCTCCACCATCCCGCCACGGCCAACGCCCTCCATGTTCCATGTTCTGTCACCTGCTGCCAACGCCTTCCATATTCCATGCGTGCCCCCTGGTGGTCAGCACACATCATAGCAACCGGTTGTTCGGTTGTTCCGCTGTTCGGTCTATTTACATATTAGGCTTTTATATAGATAGATGATTATATCCCACACTTGAAGTTAGGTAGCAGTGTGTTAACATGTAATGTACTCTTTTTTAAAGACCACAATGATGACTCAATGTATTAAAGACACCCTAACATTTCTTTTCTTTCAGCTCATATGTTAGATTTGATATAATTCGAAGGATCCTAACCAGAGTTTTTGGATGCAACATCATCATGGTGATGGGAATTACAGATGTGGATGATAAGATAATTAAAAGGGCCAATGAAGTAAGTGTTGAAGACTATGGATTGATAACTTGATTGATGAGTGTTTTTACCTCTATGTAGCAGTTTTTCTTATTTGTGTTTCACAAGTACTTTTCCCATCTAACTCTCCAGGTATGTGTGCTCTGACAGGTAATGAGAGGGATCTTTTTGTCCTGGTGAAGGAAGTTCAGGTCTATTTGACTTTGGTCCCTGAAGTCTTTAATGAATTGCCTTATTAAAGGGGGCCTCCTGACTTGAATCTGTAATCTCTTTCCTGGCCCCTCAGCCTCTGCGGTAAATACCTTACTCCCTCTTTACAGAGGGAAATTAAAAGGCTACTTTTACGCTAGCGAAATTAAGCTCGTGTGAGGTTTAATGTTATCATTTGTTAAGAGTGAACAGGTTATTTCTCTTATATCTCACATGACAGTTAAAGGAAGTTTTGGGTGTGAGCATTCTAATGAAGAATTAAATTAATAGTTATAGGAATAGTCAAGTTTACTTTCACCTCTTCTGCTTTTTATAATTAGCAACTTAATTATCTTTAAAGGGCTATAAATAATTGTTAAATTATCTAATTTTCAGAAAAAACTACATTGAGTACTTTACATTCCTGTGATTTTACAAAATTACTCCACACTCATTCCTCTACCCCCACCTCCTGGGAGGGAAGGGTGGCCTGAGGTGGAACTGATCATCAGGAGCCAATGATTTAATCAACCCTCCTAAGTAATGAAGTCCCCATATAACCCCAAAGGACAGGGCTCGGCAGCTGCAGGGCTGGTGAACCCAGGGAGGTGCTGGTGGGCGGGAGGTGAGAACTCAGAGGGTATTGGAGCTCTGCCCCTTTCCCATACCTTGCCCTATGTATCTCGTCCATCTGGTATCCTGAGTTGTGTCCTTTTAAATAAACTGGTAGTAAGTAGACTGCTTTTCTGAGTTATGTGACTCATTCTGTCAAGCCCCCAAATTGTAGTCTGTGGGTAGAAATACAAGTGGCCTGGGAACCACCATTTGCAGCTGGTGTCTGAAGTGGGGGTGGTCTTATGCGACTTATCCCCTAACTTGTGGGGTCTGTGCTAACTCCAGAAGTTGGAGGGTACCCTGTAGAGTTGGAGAATTGGAGAAGTGGTTGGTGTTGGAAAGAAAACGTTGCAGGGCCAGAAGTGAAGATTGGGCAGTGCTAGCATTTAGGGGTCAGCACCCCATCCCTGGTTCGCTATGACAGTTTGGTTTAAGCCTCCGTCAACATTCAGTTGTGCCTCTGCCCCATGTCCAAATTCCCGCCTAGGTTAGGTGTCCCTGGGGTCATGTGTCCACTTTGGTCCAGCCACTTAGTCCTTGGAGGCTGTGACATACCAAAGTGGCCAGGGGATGAGCGAAGGGCGGATCGGGGAGGGGAGATGGTGGTGGGAAGCAAGAGAGGCTGCTCTGTGTCTGCAACAGCCAACCCTGCAGCATCCTGCCAGGTGTGGCACATTATCACCCTCCACACAGGAGGAGGCAGGGTTTGAGATTGAAGTTGACCTCGCTGGCTGCATTTGGGATGGAAATGACAGAACGAAATTAGTGGCCTTTGATATAGTGAGGGGATCAATAGGGAACAGATGAATTATTCAGTAAAAACTGTTGACAGTTGAGTAACCATCTGGAGGAAAAAAATAAACCAAAGTTGGATATATGCCTCACAACCAAATTCAAGGCAGATCAGAGATTTAATATAAAAGAAATGAAACCACAAATTACTGACAGAACCTTGGGGCACTTTTTATAGCCTCATGTTGGAGAAGGCTTTTCTGTTTGTTTTCAAACCCAGAAGCTATTTGTAGGAAAAGATTGAGAAATATAAAAGATTGCTAAATATTAAAATAAAATTTTCTACATGGCCATAATGTTTATTTATTTATTTGATTGATTGATTGGTTTTAGAGAGGGAGAGGAAAGGGAAGAGAGAAGAGAGACAGACATCAATTTGTTGTTCCACTTATTTATGCATTCATCGGTTGACTCTTATAAATTATGTGCTCTAACTGGGGATCAAACCCACAACTTTGATGTATCAGGACAATGCTGTAACCAACTGAACTATCCAGCCAGGCCTACCATAAAGTTTAAAAACTGAAAAAAAACATTGAAATTCATATCAGAGATAAAATGTTAATTTCTTTTATATAAAAGTACTTTCTACAAATCAGTAAGAAAAGACCTACAACTCAATAGAAACATGGGGGGTATGGATAATTATAAATCATTTAATACAAATCGTTTGTAAACATGTGAGATGTTCAAGCTCACTGAAAATAAGAGAAGCATAAATTAAAATTACAGTGAAAAAACATTTTTTTAGCTGTCATGTCGACAATCTGGGAGTTTGCTAGCACTTTGCAGCGTAGGCACCTGCGTGCATTGCAGGTCAGGTTCAAATCAGTACACCTTCCTCGGAAGGCAGCTGGCAGGAGCTAGCAAACATTTCTGACCAGTGGCTTTACATCTAGGTCTATAGCTTAGAAATGACATGTGTTGTCATGTGTGTCTCAGTAAAAAGATGGGAAAGTAATTGGAGAGGACTGGTGAATAGTTCATGAAAAGTCTGGGATGGGACGCAGAGGACCTTAGAAAGAAGGTAGTGGCTCATCGTGCTCTGCGCGGACAGTTCTGGAACTTGGTTGTTAGAGAAGGAAGCCAGGTGCAGGCCAAGTGTGGAAGGTGCTACATTTCAAGAAGAGGATGCAAATACATGTGTGACCATGGCCATGCTCCTGAGACAACTGGTGATGGTGTTGGCCGTCTGGAGAGAGGCTCGTCCTGGGCACCCTTATGCCATTCGAGTTCCCTGGGAGTGGGTTTCCTTTGCAGAAAACAGAAATTACAGATGAATAGCCCTGGCCGGTGTGGCCTCTTGGTTGTGTGTCATCCTGTACACGAAAAGGTCACTGGTTCAATTCCCGGTCAGGGCACATGCCTGGGTTGCCGGCTCAATCCCTGGTAGGGGGCGTGCAGGAGGCAGCCGATTGATGTTGCACTCTCATGTCGTCGTTTCTTTCTCTCCCTCTCCATTCCTCTGTCTCCAAAAATCAATTTAAATATATATATATTTAAAAAATTACAGATGAATAAATACAAGCAATTTGCTGACCATTAGGTCCAAAATTGCATAGTATTAAAAGCTTCTAAAGTGAAAGCTAACACTGAAGTTTTAGCTTTTTTATTTGTTTGGCCTTTTGTCTTCTGGATATAAATAAGTTAACTTTTTTTTTAGGAGGTCAGCTTTGCCACAAAGCTGTGCCATAGGAAAAGGACTAATATGTACTGATCACTAGCTGTGTCTGGGTGCTAGGTGTTTTGTCTCTTTAATAATGATATTAATGTAGTTTTTTCCATTCACAGTGGTGACTTTCTCATTGCATCCTCATAGCAATCTAAAGACCATTAGCTGGGATTTTCTTAGTGTTGCAAAGATAGCCGAAGGCACCGAGGTTTATTGTCTTGCTCAAGACAACACAGAAGACACTTGGGCAGCAACACTTTGTCCACCAGATTCCTTTCTTCAGTAAATGTTCACTGGTTGCAGTTTTTAGGGTGATTGCTATTTTAGGGTCCTGGGCTGGTAAGAACGTGGATTTAGGGTGTTGTTTCACTTGAGAAAGTTTCTTAATACTCCAGAGCTGAAATCTCTCCCCCATAAAATGGGAGCTCTATTTCTCAGGGATGGGGAGGAGCAGGGGAGAGGAGGATCCAGCCTGGAACAGATGCTGGGTGAGTTCCAGTGGCTCCTGGGTCACTTCACAGGCTCAACAGTTATGAAGCTGCATTTAGTTTCATAACTTCACAGTGTGTCGTGCTTCTGTCCTGGGAGTGTTTTTCGGCTGAAAAGTAAGGAATACTTTTGTAAACCTAGTTTTGTGTGCCAGCCCCCTCTAGATCTGGGGCTGCAGGTACCTGCCCCCATATGCCGTACGTTCAGAATTCGATGTCCATTTGTGGGGGCGGGGGGGGGGGATTGCCCGTCCCCAGGAGCCCAGCTATGGCCCTGTGGGATTGAACACCCGTCACAATCCCTATTTTCATATGCTGTATTGCTTTCAAATATTTCTTAGAGAATTTCTCTGCGATATATTTTTAGCCTGTTTACTTTTGCCTCCTGAGGCGTAAGGTATAAGATAGGAACTCAAGTTTCTGGTTATTATGTACAGTAGATTGATCTGGCTTATCCTTATTCTAGAAAAACAGAGGCACCCTGGCTGGTGTGTCTCAGTTGGTTGGGCGTTGTCCTGTGCACCAACAGGTTGCTGATTCAATTCCCAGTCAGGGCACATACCTGGGTTGCGGGGATCCCCGTAGGGGGCATGCGGGAGGCGGCTGATTGATGTTTCTCTTTCTCTCACCCTTCCTCCCTCTCTCTCTAAAAATCAATAAAAATAAAAATATGTTTTAAAAAACAGGCTTAGTTTTTGTTTTGAAAATTATATAACGGAAATCATCACATTGTTTATTTCTTTTTTCTCTCTAACCTGAATACAGGGTCAACAAACCTTTTTGAGTAGCTAAGCTACTAGAATAAGTTTGATACCTAAAATTAAATGCCCTTTTTGTGAGCAGGCATGTCAAACTGAGGCCCAGCCACGACGGGCCATGCGGCCCAGCCCTCCCAGCTGTGGGAGCCGGTGGAGCCCATGTGTGGCTCTGCTGTGAATACTCCGGATTGCCTAATAGGCTCACCTAATCTTCTTGCAGATGAAGATATCACCTGCTTCTCTTGCCAACCTTTATGAAGAAGATTTTAAACAAGATATGGCAGCCTTGAAGGTAAAGTAGGGTGTTGCTTTCTGCCATGAAGATAAGAAGCTTGAACAGTGAAAGCCGGTTTTGGCTGACTTGCTTTTGAACTATGGAAACAGTTATCTCTCCTTTGCTTTCTTTCAGGTTCTCCCACCCACAGTATACTTGAGAGTAACTGAAAATATTCCTCAGATCATTTCTTTCATTGAAGGAATAATTGCTAATGGGCATGCTTATTCAACAGCAAGAGGTGGGGCTATTTTATAAACACTAATTGTTGGTAACATTGATGGGACTTTGAGAAACTGGACACATTCTTATGAGTTGTTGGAGCGTGCCAGATGTTTTACTGTCTCTCTCAATATGATTCCTACAGTGAAAATGTGAGGTTTTCTTATGGTTATTGTCTTTGCATAAATGGCTGCATCAGTTCTTTTTGTTGTTGTTAATCCTCACCCGAGGATATTTTTTCCATTGATTTTTAGACAGAGTGGAAAGGAGGGGGAGACACACACACACACACACACACACACACACACACACACACAGATTGGTTGCCTTCCGCATGCAACTGAGTCTGCAACCGAGGTACGTGCCCTTGACCAGAATCAAACCCGGGACCCTTCAGTCACTCTATTCACTGAGCCAAACCAGCTAGGATGCATCAATTCTTTTAAAAAATATTTCCACGGTTACAGGAAGAGATGACCAACTGGAGAGCTAGTCTAGACAAGGCAAATATGGCATGATGCTAACAATGTTGTACTAGATGTAGGTGTGCAGGTGTCCTTTGAGTCTTCTTTCAACTTTGTTCACATTTTTCATAGCAAACAGTTGAGGACAATGGCGGCACCTCAAAAGGTCCACCCCCTTGTGGAAGACTGGCCCTCAGACTGTCATCTCCTTGGATGGGCAGTTGTCTTTTTGATGGACCAGTGAACATCCTGACACTTTAGGCCCTGCACACTTCAACATACGTCTCTGAATAAAAGACGTCACCCTATGTAACCCCAGTGTCATGATCAGAGCTGAGCTGCTGGACAGTTCCCTAATAGCATGCCCTGTCCTCTGCATATTCACACTTACCCTGCTGTCTCCCACCTCGCACATCCTCATCTAACTCAGGTTCTTTCGTGGTCCTACCTGAGGACATAAGCTACTTGGCAGGGGCCCCTGGCCCCTGGAAACGTGTGTTGCCTTTCTCAGTAGCCTATGCACGTGGTTGTGTCCTGTCCCTTTAAGACAGTCCCCACTTTGTTCCCCTCATTACGGGCTCGTTGAAGAGACTGACCAGGCCAGTTGTCTTCGGAACACCCGTCTTCTGGATGTGTGTGACCACTTCCTGTTGTAGAGCTTCATTGGTTTAGGAGCTGCTGCTTTTCGGTTGGTGGTTTCAGGGAAAGACTGGCAGCCTGGCGTTTTGCTGCTTCTACGATTCAGCATTGTTTTCAGCCATATCTCTTCCTTTCCAGTCATTCTTCCCAGATCTAAATCCTCCTTTCTCTCTCCCAGGAAGTTTTCTTTACTGCCCGTAGCCGAAACGCACCTTCTCAGCTGTGATATCCGTACTGTACCACTTGGTAGCCAATCATATGCTGCCTCCGCTTGCTGTTCACGTATTCACATTTTGTCAGTTCTTGGACCAGGAAAACCTTTTGCTTTTCGCAAATAACCCATTAGAGAACCTAGCTGGGGGTTGGCAGCATTCAGGTACTGCAATACTTGTTGCAAGTCAGTAACAAAGTGGAAAGCATGATCATGGACATGATTCATAGGGATTATTGGCCTGTGAGCACCTTTCTTTCATGGTCCTACCTGAGGGCATAAGCTACATGGCAGGGGCCCCTGGTCCCTGGAAATGTTGTTGCCTTTCTCAATAGCCTGTGCATACAGGCTTGCAGTCTTTTACTTTATCTTGTTTGCTATGTTTAGATTTTATTTCCAAGAAAAACTTGTTTTAAAGGGCTTAGGTGACTGAACTGGAATTGTTTCCAGAAATACAGGAATTGTTTTCCTGCTGTCATATAACGTGAAATAAGACACATCAGCCAGCTAAACTGATTAATGTTCATGCACTGCTCAGAGATTCCCATCCAAGCATACTTTAGGAGTAAATGCTGTTTGTTTTATTACTATGCTTTATGGTAAATTTTAATTATGATAAACATAATTAATTTAAAATAAATTTCACTTACTGAAACTCCATTCATTTGGACTTTGTGACAGTTTCACAAAGCTTGGTTGTAATTTGATCTTTGCACTATTTGTGAAGAAAGAATTTGTTCAGCAAATGGATGCCATAAATAGAGGTCTGAAGAAAATGTTTCATCCATTAAAGGGAACAGTTTCTTTCTGTTTTAAAGCATTTTCAAGTGCCGTTTACATTCTAACTTACCCCACAGTACTTCTCCCATTTTCACCAGTTTATCCCAGCTCGTAGTTGGAGCTCAGGAACAAGCTCTGAGTGAAGGTCGGGGACTCTGAGTTGTCTGGGGTCTCTGTTTCCTGGCGGCCCCCGCGTGCTCAGGTCAGGACTGACTCCCGGCGGGAGCTCCAGCTCCGATAACCCCTCCCCTGCGCGGCTGGACATGCAAGGGCTGGCCCTGGCTCTGCAGTGACCTAGCGGAAGATCACCTTGCACCCTCAGTCTAAAAACGTGGACCGGATGCACTTCGGTGGAAGGACAGCTACGGGAGGCTTGAGTGCAGCGATGTTTGTAACCTAAGTAAAAAGACAGCCGTGGAGGGTATCCGGTTAGGAAAGGGTTTCTTTGCTGATCGCTGTGTAACATGAAGCCCAGAGCTGAACGCAGGCCAATGGTAACACTCACTTTTCCTTTTTCTTGTTAAAAAGAATTGCGTCAGCATTTGACACAGAACTTACTCCTTTGTATTCACTTTTACATCCAGACATTCATGATGTGTCCAAATGCATGTTTTTAAAAAACAGTGCTGGTGGTGTTAATTTTGATTTTAAAATATAGTACAGGAGGCCAAATGAGGGCCAGATGCCATATTCTATGTTTAAGTTCTAATCACTTGTTAGCTGTTAAGCTCATATAGATGTTGACATTTAAGACTGAGAAATGAAATTATTACCTTTATAAAACAGGCAATGTCTACTTTGATCTGCAGTCGAGAGGCGACAAGTATGGCAAGCTCGTTGGTGTGGCTCCTGGTCCTGTTGCAGAGCCAGGTGGGTGGACCCCGGCGTCCTGTCCCGGCTTCCGGGGGCTGACGCACAGACTCAGCTTCTCTTTCCCAGTGCTCAGTTGAGACCCCCACGCTCTCAGAGGTGGTGCCAGACAGCTGATCACAGCTGTGTTTTATTTTATTTTTTAAAATATATTTTTATTGATTTCAGAGAGGAAGGGAAAGGAAGAGAGAGATAGAAACACCAATGATGAGAGAGAATCATCAATCGGCTGCCTCCTGCATGCCCCACACTGGGGATTGAGCCTGCAAACCAGGCATGTGCCCTGACCAGGAATCGAACCATGACCTCCTTGTTCATAGGTCAATGCTTAACCATTGAGCCATGCTGGCCAGGGATCACAGCTGTGTTTTAAATTTGATTCTGGTCCTAGCTGGTTTGGCTCAGTGGATAGAGCGTCAGCCTGCGGACTGAAAGGTCCTGGGTTCGATTCCGGTCAAGGGCACATGCTCGGGTTGCGGGCTCGATCCCCAGTGGGGATCATGCAGGAGGCAGCCAATCAATGATTCTCTCAATATATTAAATAAATAAATAAATTTGATTCTGTTTTTTTAAATAGAGAGAACTTGTAGAGTATAAACGTCACACAGCATATGACACGTCCCTCCCCTCTCCTGCCTGGGCCTCCAGCTCTCCCTGGAGAAGGCACCTTCGCCCATTCTCATGGCTCCTTTCAGAGATGGTCCCCGCATGTGAAACATGCATGTAAGCTTTCTTCATGTCTGTTCATGGCTCGATAGCTCATTTCTTTTTAGCAGTGAATAATATCCCATTATCTGATGTACCACAGTTTACTTATCCACTCACCTACTGAAGATCTTGTTTCCAAGTTTTGGAATGTAAAGAGAGCCCAGAACTGGCTCATTGTACAGACTTCAACAATAACCTAACCTTTCTCTTTTGAGTCTCTTTACTCTTTGAACGTGATTGGCATTCTGGTAATTCTCCTTTTCGCTCTATATGATTTTTTGGGGGGAAAGTTACTCAAACGTAGTTACTGATAGCACAGCTGTCTTAGGAGACAGACTGCAGAAGAATGAGCGCGCTCAGTTCAGGACACCCCTCAGAAAGCAGCATCACCGTGCGTGTTTGAAATCTCAACTCATTCATTATTCAACTCACTGAAACCGGCCTCATGCTGACAGACCTCATGCTACTGGCATATTTTAGGTGAAAGTGTTTAGTGGTCTTTCCAGCCGTCAGGTGGGGGGAAGAGGAAAACATGAATGAGGAATGTGAGGTTACTTATAAGAAGGAACAGACTCTTTGGAAAGTGCTTTAGTTTTGTGACTTTGGGTTGGTTTGTTCATTCTAAGTTCTCAACCCTGTTGATCAAACACTTTTAATTGGCAGGTGATTCGGACAAGCGGCATGCCAGCGACTTTGCCCTGTGGAAGGCAGCCAAGCCCCAGGAGATCTTCTGGCCCTCTCCTTGGGGAAACGGAAGACCTGGCTGGCATATCGAATGTTCTACCATCTCAAGGTAAGGTTTTCCTGGATTCTTCCCGTCGGTGTTGATGTGAAAGCTCTAGCAATGCCTGAGTTGGCCAGTAGAGGGCGCAGACAGGACAAGTTTGGTCTCCGCACCAATGCAGACAAAGCAAGGAGTTTGGAGGAAAGCTTAACATTCAGAGGGGACTGGCTGTAAGAAGGGAAACAAAACAAAAACATGGCTTATTCATCTTTGCATCAGCACTTTTCTTTTCAGTAGGAAAGCCTGCTTTACGGTTCAGGTTTTGATTTCCCATCTCCTACAAGCCGGCTCCAGGTTGCCTTCATCTCTCTGCCGAGGTGGGTTTAGGGAACACCAACCCTCCACTGAGGGCCTGGGTGAGGGCTGAGCCCCTCAGGGACGGGGCACCGAACCACCTTTCTCCTGCCGCTCTCTCAGTCCACAGACCCTCACCCCAAAGCTGGATCAGAACCCATCGAGCGTTATCCCCAGGTTCTGTGTGTCTGTCTCCTCAGACTTCCATCAGCCCTTTCTCAGGACGCTTCTGTCCTGGGATCTCCATAAACACAGGTCCTCCGTGACCCTGACCCCTCCAGCAGCCTCCTTTTTGTTTGCTTCTATCACCATCTACATGTGACCTGCTCCTGCCTGGCTTTCATCCCAGCGTCCCACTGACTCTGGTCTCCTGAGGGCACCAGTGACCAGGTCACTGACAGGCAGCCTGATGCCCTCCTTTTCCCTTGGCCCCTGGGAAACAACTCTCTGCTGGTTTTGGCATCTCTGCTGGGGCCTCCTCCTCCTCCTGCTTGATCACCTCTGCAGACTGTTCCTTTGGTACTCCCCACGCTTCTGCCCATGGCCACATGCCCCTTTTCATGTGTGTGTGTGTGTATGTGAGAGAGAGAGAGAGAGAGAGAGAGAGAGAGAGAGAGAGAAGGTGGCATACCACATGTGCTGTCCTCTTCTGTCTCTCTTCACTTAGCAGTCTGTCCTGGGAATTCCCTTGTGTCAGTTTGCTGAGCTCTTCGTCATTTGTCTCTCGGCTCCTAAGTGCTGCTGTATTGTGTGGCTTACCCATTGTTCATTTAGCTAGTACCCTATGGAGGAGCATTTAGGTGTTCCAATACTTTGCTCTTACAAATACCTGCAGTGAATAACCTGGTGTATGTATTTCCTGTTTGTGGAGGTGAGGGGTTTTCAAGTATCATATTAACTCAGATTTTATTATATTTGATGTGTTTTAGTTCATTGCAGATATTTATTATAATATTTTTTTGCAGTGGAGTTATAAGTTTTTAAAATTAGAAACATAAAGTATGCTTAAGGTGAGCATTTCAAACTACTAGCTACACCAAAAATTTTCAGATCAGCCAACCCAGTCACCCTCAATTGGTTGTTGTATGTGGTGCTGTTTTCTGGCTGGGTATAGCAGTGGTAACTATCTACACTAATAAAAGAGAAACATGGTAATTAGCGTACGACCGCTACCCTTCCCATTGGCTAATCAGCATATCCTTATGCAAATTAACTGTCAACCAAGATGGCGGCCGGCAGCCAGGCAGCTGGAAGCGAACATGAGGCTTCCTTGCTTCAGTGA